ACAGTTGGTGAGATGACCTTGACCCTGGATAATGTTGGCACTATTCTTGGCCTTCCCATTGTAGGCAAATCAGTCAGCATACCTGATGTGACAGATCATCATGGAGTTACATTACTCATTTATGGCTTGGGGATTACTGAACGTGCAGCACATGAAGAGGTTTCTTCTGCTGGTGGTAATTCAGTCAGGCTTGAATGGTTGCGAAGTCAGTTTGCTGGTGTCACAGATTCAGACCCCGAGGAGGCTATACAGTGCGCTGCAAGAGCTTATTTGTTGTTTCTGTTGGGATGTACACTCTTCAGTGACAAGAGTGGCGGCAGGGTTCCCGTTGTTTACCTCGGCTTGTTGATGGATTTGGGATCCATACATACTTATGCCTGGGGTGCTGCTGCATTAGCATTTTTATATAGACAGTTGGGGTTTGCTAGCCGGTCTGGGGTTAAGCAGATGGGTGGTTATATGACTCTTTTGGAGGCATGGATTTATGAGCACTTCCGAGCATTCCGACCTCATCAGAACATGGGCTATAATGAAGACATGCCACACGTGTACCATTGGGCATCTAGGAGAGAGGCGGGTTCCTCCATTGACCATTTGAAATCTTTTCGAGCCGAGCTTGACAGTTTAGTAGCTACTGATGTAAGTTTACTCATCTTGCAATAATTTTAAAACTTCCATTTATCTTACCCTTTATGTACGTTAATGCAAAAACACTTTATGTTTACAGGTTATTTGGGATCCATACCACAGCTGCAGAGACCGACATCCATGTAACCTAGTTACGTTCTACCATGGATGCTTACAGTGCTTAGACGTTGTCGAACCCTATCATCCAGATAGAGTTTTGAGGCTGTTTGGCAGGGTTCAAACCATCCCAGATGCACCGCTAGCTCCCAGTCGTGGTGCGCGAGGCAACATATCTGCACGATATACAGTCATGTACAGATACTTGGATAGGATCTGGGAGGCTTGGGATAACCACGTGTTATCTGAGCAACGGAGAAGCACACCAGTTCGTCAGCCTTGGCAATGTGTACCGGGTTACATGGATTGGTATAAGAATATCACGCACCTATATGTCGAGCACACTGATGAACCGCGTGTCCATGACCATCAGGATTTCAGCGAACATGCGGATGTAATCTATTATCCTCTCTTATGCATATGTAACTTACTTTTTTTTCTGATATGTTCCCTAAAATGTGATATTCTTTTCAAATGCAGCGTATTGCACATGCACTACATATTTCACATCCTATTATTGACGCTGGTTATCAGGAGAGGATTCGCCATCCTTATCGACTTTACCAGGCTATCGAGAGTATGACACATGTTCTTGAAGGTCAGCACATTGACGAAGCTGGACCTAGTTCTGCTGGAGGTCGCTTTCCATCTTCAACATTGACATACAGTCATAGGCCTAGGCATAGGCATACAGCTGATTCGTGACATACAGTCGTAGGCCTAGGCGTAGGCATACACATGTTTTTTGGTGTTTTTTGTAAGATGACATTGTTGTAATGGTAACAGTGGTTAATATTTTCTTATTAGAATGGAATGGCAACAATAGTATTGTAATGACATTGTAATGACATTTTATTATTAGAATGGAATGGTAACAATGGTCGTTGATGGCGTACATTGTATCTCTGATCTTCCAGCTCTCTGTACCACCCTGTTTCGATGGCGTACATTGTAAATGGTTTTTAAGTATGCTTACATTGAGGGCATCTCGCTGTTTCAAGGTTACTAGGATTTCTTTTGGCCGAACCATGCTCTCTGACATATCCATTAACAATGCTTTCTCATCCTTTGATAGCCTTCCCGCATATGAATGTCCCTCGAGGTGCTCCGCAGGTGGATGATTATGCAATCCACATACTACGGTCAATGTCCATTCATCGTGTGTGGTAAACCTGTGAGCCCTCATATCAAAAGGACAACCTCATATCATTTGGTGAGCAATTCGAAGCATAATCGTTATAATTTCGTAGACTGAACCTGTTCAGTTGTGAATTGAGTGGTGTAATCTAACACAAAATCCACGCAAACCTGACTTCCTTGAGTTGACACATATTCCTACATGTTTTGTATAACATTACAAATTTTTAATGGCATTATAAAGATTAATTTGCAATTTCAAACTGTAAATTTGGTATGTAGCTTGCAAATTTGGAATATAAAATGGAAAAAAAAAATTTACTTCATTTGAAAGTAGTTGTCCGAATTTTTTTTCAAAATTCGGAAGTTGAATGTTGTAAAAGTTAACTTTGTTCGGACAACAACTTCCGAATTTAAATACATTGTTCGGACAACAACTTCCGAAATTTATTACTTTGTTCGGACATCAACTTTCGAAAATACATGATTATTTTGGTAGTAGATTTCCGAATCAAATAACACAATTCGGCTCTGGTTATCCAAACGACGCTGGGAAAAAAAATTTAAACTCAGATTTCCTTCGCTCTACTTCACATGAACACTTATTTGCTGATTTTCAAAAGGCAAATCCTCCATAACAATGATGTTTTCCCTACGGAAATGCCAAAGCCCTTTGGTTTCACTTCTAGCTCAATGAACTTGGAAGAAGCTATGAATGACACTGGTTCACTGGTTCTCAATCCTCAATGGTTCACTGGTTCTCCTTCCATTTTCAAATAAGCATGCAAACCAGTGGAACAAGCTACACACACGATGCAACAGATGTGAACTCTGAGGTGTGCATTGAGATGTTTTCAATTAACAATGGTGTCTAAAATAGTAATTTCACTTAGGGATAAAATTGTAATAAAATTAAATATCATTAAGTGTGTGTATTGAGGGGATTAGGTGTGTGTATTTAGAAGCTCCCCGGGCAGCTGATTGGAGCATCATGAAATGACTGAAATGCCCCTCTAAAACTTCAATAATTACAATTATGCCACTATGTAAGCCATCTTTCGTTGCCCTAGCCCGCTCCTCTCCTCACACTCCTCTTCTCATTTCCTTGGCGACCGAAGATGATCCTCCACATCTCTCCAAGATCAGCCGATCGAAGTCTAAGATTTCTTCAAGATTTGTCCAAGATCTGCACCAAAAAGGTAAGAGTTCATGCCTTTTGTTTGTGATATATATATACACATACACACATCGAGTTAGGGTTTACACAGACCAAAATCAAATCACACTCTCTGTTTTTCTCTCTCTCTCTCTCTCTCTCTCTCTCTCACTCTCTCTCTCTCTTCTTGTTTCGATTCTCCCCTCTGTTATGTGTTTTAATACTTGGGAAGGATTTATAATGGTGGTTGTTTGGATAATAGTAGATTTGTAGTGTTAAATCAAAATTTCTGCTCAATTACTTGGGAAGTATATCTTGTTTATCTCCAATTTAATGGATTATTGAGACTGTGGGTTGGGATCAGGGCCATGTTGTTGAAGTTTGAAAAGGCAAGACGTGGCCTGGTCAAATTGTGTTTTTCTGTTTTCTATTTGATGGAAACATCATGGTGACAGAAATACATCCTTCAATGAATATCTGAAAAATTGTTATAAACAGAGGCAATTCTCTCTCTCTCTCTCTCTCTCTAGTGGAAACCCTTTTTTCTTTTGTTCTTTTTTCCCATCCGGTAAAGCTTGTAGCCATGCAAAACCTCTTGATCTCCATGACGTACATTCATGTTACATCATACTGCAATCCTCTTTGTATGTTGTGAAATTAAGAATTTTTTATAACAATTTCAACCTTCATTTGCATTACTAGAGTTGGTCAGTTCAAGTTGCAGTAGCGGTAATCGGTAAATAACATAAATATGCTACATAGTAATATAAGTGCATTAAAGGAAGTGAAACGGTTTGAAGATTCTCATCGTGGCAGTATTAAACAGAAACTATTAATATGTCAAATATCTTATCTACTTTACTAAATTATCAATTCACACTTTTAAGCTGTGTAACTATGAGCTGATTTGGTGCCAAATGATTATAATATTCTAATCTTTTTGTCATATTCTAATTTGTTGGTGCCAAATGATTATGACCTCTTTGTTTGTTGAGTTGTTTAGGAGAGTGACAATGTAGGCATTGGCTCACTGCGTGTGCAAACCTAAAATCACTAGTAATTGGTCATGTAGTGGTTATTTCACTACAGGAAAAAGGGGATTTGGTAGCATTTTTTTAACGACGGTTTTGTGAACGTCACTGTTTTTATTATTTAACGGCGTTTTATAAAACGCCGCGTATTCTATTACACAAAACGACACCGTTTTATAATGGGAGGCGTTTAAAAACGCCTCCGAATGCGGTAGCCACACGCGCCTCTTTTTTTTCTTTTTTTTTTTTTTTGAACAAGAACACGGGCCTCTCAATCCTTATTTTGAATCAGAGCCTTTCTCTCTCTCTCTCTCTCTCTCTCAACCCTTATTTTGAATCAGAGCCTCTCTCTCTCTCTCTCTCTCAACCCTCTCTAAGCTCCATCAAAGATTCAGAGCAAAGCTCCATCGAAGCGATTTCGAAGCTCCATCGAAGATTCGGATCGAATCTCCATCGATGCGATTTAGAAGCTCTATGCCTGCGATTTCGAAGATTCAGATCTGAACTCTGTCCCCTCGATTACTCGCATTTCAACCTCCATTGAATAGTCTACTTTGTTTCTGAACTGCAATCGGTACTCTCTCTCTCTCTCTCTCTCTCTCTCTCCCGCTCTATTTGTGATCTTTGGGAAAAATGAAGAATTATTGTATTCGCATCAGGCACTAGTTATTTCATTACTTTTTTTAGTCAATTCTATTGTGATGATATAATACTACCAAATATATGAATAGCAATGTTAAATAATACCAGTAGCAATGACAATTTTGTAATAAGCAGAGTCGGGGAAATGATGATATAAAACTTCTGGAAAGGGATAATCAATCAGAATTTATAAGAAAATTTATAATAAGAAATCTCAGAGTATTCATTATAAGCGATAATCAATCAGAATTTTCATTTTCTGATAGCAGCAAGTCTGAATCCATCAGCATGCAACAAATCCGTTAGAGTAGTTTAATACACAAAAATTGTTAATTGCCTAAAAACACAATCCATTAGAGAAGCTCTATACCAAAATATAAATAAATAAATTGCCTAACATTTTCACATTTTAGATCTTTTGGGACCATTGGAGTGCCTACCAGCAAAACCTAGTTATCATCTTGAAACCACTAAACCCATCATCAAAATTCTCACAGAACAGTTTCATCTGCATGAGACGAATGCCAAATTTCAGATTTTCTCTGTACTAAAAAAAAAAAAAGGGACAAACAAAAAAAAGTTAAATGGAACTCTTTATCAAGCTTACCAACAATGAAATAATAACTAAACAAAGAATTGATAGAGTCCTGTAGGATAGCTGATACAATATATCAAGATTTCTAAGTGAAAAAATGAACTTTTAATTGTTGTTTCAGAGTCTATAAAACCTCCACTCAGTGTAGCATATACAGATACATCCCTAGTTGAGCTGAATTTCACCCTTTTTTAAGTTTCAAAACATAAGCCATGAGTTGAATTTATGTTGCCAAACACATCCAAAACTTTCAGACTATGAAACCAAATTCATTTGTTTAGCCCAAAAAACATACACTCGTAGGAAATATCCAAACCCAACCAAATAGAACCTTGAAACTGAAGACTATGAGATAATTGAAGTATACCTCATCAAATCCATTGAATTTTTTTACAGGATAGAGCATAAGAATCCAAGGGCCTTCTTGGACCTCCTACTACTTGTACGAAGAACTGAGGATGGTCTTGATTTTGACTTCAAATGGCTCAAATTCGAGCCCAATGATTTTAATTAAAAGTAGAATGTAAACATTCATATTCAATACCAGCAAAACTAAACTACATAACAACTGGAAAGGGATTTTCCTTACGCAACCACCTGTCCAGTCATCTAGTAGCGTTGCTTCGGTTGAAAGTGGTTTAAAACCCTGCAAACACATGCAATGGGTCGAGGAATTCTCATTGAAGATACCAAACACCCCACAATAAGCATAAACCTGGGATAGTTTATTCGGTTGAGTCAGTAATATTTGTCAATCCCGAACACCGTCTAGTCATGCCAACTGGCTAACCTGTCCTGATTGTTCCATCACAAATCTTGATAGCATAGCACTGTTCTTAAGAGAGTAGGTAAAATAGCTCAATTGAGTGTACCTGGCTGACTTTAAAAGTTAGGAACAGATAAATTAATCAAAGAGCTAGACAATCTTCTCACATGAGTCTTATATATTTGTGATTCTAGTTATTAACGTGGAAAACTATGATTGTGATTGTGATTGTGATTGCGATTGTGATTCCTCAACTAATATAATTGTGATTGTGAATGTGATTCCTCATTTGGTGGCTGCTCTTTGGTGTTTTTTGAATCATCATCATCATCATCAGAAGTATTCGAGCTTTGGTACACTTATTGGTTTGGGTAGTGGGTTTGAACTTCCCACATCCATGAGTTCCAACCAAAACTATTCTATTATTGATGGATTTGAGAGAGCAATGTATTTCTTGAATCTATCATAATCTATCAAGAGCATTGTAGAAACTTTTGGTTTCTTCATTAATATGCTTCATACTAGATATGCTTCTAGTATGCTTGATAGTACTAATTTAGATTGCACCACCAGGATGCAATCATTAATGGTACATGCATGCATAAATAGCCTTAGACCCGTCCAAGAATCTTCATTAGAGATACCTAGTCATCTTTGATGAAGCTCTTCTTGGATTGTCCAGTTTGGACAGTTCAGGAGCACAAGTCTGTATTATAATTAGTAGTTCTACTGCTTATAGTCCATCTCGTAGAGATTTCATGTAGCAACTCCTCGTGTTCTCCAAGTGCATACTAAACAAGGTGTAGCAGTACACCTAGTCTATGTCGTGTATTTGGAGAACCATGGGGAGATGCTGCCGAAATTTCGTTAGAGATGAATAGAGCGGTATGAACTGCTTTTTACAATATAGACCGTGCATTCCTGAATGGGAAAGTAGGATGAACCAAGATATTAGAGACCAGTTAGAGGTGAATAATGTCATGCCGCATGCATTACAAGGTACTTAATTGAGGTTAAGATTAATTAAAATGGAACGGTAATTTTGAACTGTGTTGATTTGGCAGTGACATTTGTAGTGTAAGACAGAGTTAGATGGATAAAAGTTGGATAAATCAGCATAGGTTGCACCCGGAATATATACAAGGGGTTAAGGAATTTATTAAATTTGCATGCGAAAATAAGCCGTTGTTGAATGAAGTCACATGCCCATGTAAACGATGTCGTAATGTCAAATTGGTGGAGAAAGGCTAGTTAGGGGAACATTTAATGATCAATGGGTTTCTTCCAAGTTACATCAGTTGGATTTTTCATGGGGAGAATTTGTCGTCGCCTGTGCCACACAATGTGAATGTCGGGCAAACTAATTTGAACGATGGTGATGAAACTTATGAAATGCTATATGAAGGATTTGGACTTCCTCCACCAAGCTTTATTCATGAGGCAGCAAGTTCTGGTATTAAACAAGGTCCAGATGAGAAAATCAAAAAATTCTTCAATTTATTGAAAGAGGCCGAAAGAGAGTTATATCTTGAGTGTCAGAAGTTTTCAACGCTCTCATTTATTGTTCGGTTATTGCACATCAAGTGCCTTAGTGGATGGAGTGACAAGTCTTTCATGATGTTGCTTGAGCTTTTGAAGGATTCGTTCTCAAAGGGTGAAACTTTGCCAAAGTCATTTTATGCAACTAGGAAACTCCTTAGGGACTTGGGCCTCGATTATCATAAGGTACATGCATGCCCAAGGGATTGTTCACTATATTGGAAGGAAACAGCTAGTATGGATGATTGCATAGTGTGTCATATGCCTAGATACAAACAGTTTGAGGGGGAGGAGAATGATGTTAAGAAGAAGCAACAAAGAATTCCACAGAAGATTGTTAGATACTTTCCATTGATTCCAAGGCTTCAAAGATTGTTTATGTCATCCAAAACATCTTCTTTAATGAGATGGCATGCAGAGGGCCGAATTGATGACGGCAAAATGAGACATCCCGCTGACTCTCCAGTCTGGAAAAATTTTGATAATTTGTATCCCAAGTTTGCGAGTGAGCCTCATAATGTCAGACTGGGTTTAGCAGCGGATGGATTCAATCCATTCAAGGTAATGAATGTCTCTCATAGCAGTTGGCCAGTTATTATGATGCCATACAATTTGCCACCATGGTTGTGCATGAAGCAGCCTCATATGATGATGACATTGCTCATCGATGGTCCTTTTTCACCTGGAAATAACACTGACGTCTACTTACGCCTTGTAGTGGATGAATTGAAAGAATTGTGGGAAAACGGTGTTGACACGTATGATGCGGAAACTAATCAGATGTTCCGAATGCATGTTGTGTTATTGCGGACTATAAATGATTTTCCGAATGCACGATGTGTTATTTAACATCACTGCGATTGTCCCATATCGAGAGACACAACCTTTGTCTCATCGTGAATGTATTTATACCAACTATAATTATCTTGCATTTTACAAGTAGTTTAAATGTGTAGAGAACATCATGAATTTATTAAGCGATCACATCGTTGTCGAGATTATGATGTGGATCGTCGTCACAATGATGAGTTTCCCAAATGGTTCAATTCTCATGTAAGTGCATGTCAAGCACAACAAGCTTTTATATTTTTGTAATACACATGTTTCTATATTTTTGAAGTTGTTAATTGATGTTTAATATTGATAACTTTCTTTTAAAAATAGGTTGCAAAGCTGTTAGCTACTGAAAATGTAGCGTTGTCAGATGAGAACAAAATTTTGGCTTTGGCACCTAGCCAAAAGGCCACCAGATTTAATGGGTATATAATTAATGGTACTAGGTATCATACTAGGAGTCGTGAGTTGAGAAGAAAAACTCAGAATAGTGGGGTTATGGTGAAGGCAAAGACTTCTAGCTATGCAAGTGCGAAAGACATTAATCCAGTGGAAGGTGATGTAGCGTACTATGGATATGTGACAGATATTATTGAATTGTATTACTCACATGACCATAGATACATGTTATTCATGTGCAACTGGATTGATAACAATAAGGGACTCAAGCGGGATGATTTTGGTTTTACACTTGTTAATTTCAATCACTTGTTATATGCGAAGAAACAGGACAGTGATGAGCCATTCATCCTAGCATCTCAAGCACAACAAGTCTTTTATGTTAATGATTCTGTTGATGAAGATTGGAATGTTGTACTCAAGATGAAACCTAGAGACTTGTATGAGGTGTGTAGAGAACAACCAACTATTGATGAAGGACTACATCACAACGAAGTGGAAGGATTTGGTGATCAAGAGTTAGATGTAGCTTCCTTCACTTGTGAGGAGGACATGGATTGGGTTAGGCAAGGTATTGATGGAACAACTGTTGATGAAACTATTGGATCTCTTAAAGCATCGACAGAGGCACCATTTGAAGATGGCGAAGAAATGATATGATATTGTAATTGGTTGCATATTCACTTTTACATTTGTGTTTTCTGTACAGATATTCATGTTAATAAAATCTTTGCTTTTATACCTTTGTAGTTTTCTTTAAATGGCCATTTTTACCTTTCATGTACTCTTATTCTATTTTGAATGCAGTTTCTTTATAGATTATCATGTCCTTACTTTTATGTTTGTAGTTTCTTTATAGATTATCTATGAGTTCTAGCTCCGAGAGTTTTTCTAGTGAGAGTGAGCAATCAAGCTCTAATAGTTCTAGTTCAGATGAGACTCATGCCACACTTAAGATGAGAGTCATACCTGATCCACCGGCATCATGGCATCCACCAGGCAGTCTTCCTACCACATCACGTAGCGGTAGTACATCACATGGCTCAGTTTCAGCTGGTATGTATAGATATTTTTAATTGTGCTTGTTTTCTCTAAAGATCTAAAAATAATGTTTGCTAATTTGAAATAATGCTGTATGGATATTCCTCAATTTAGATTTAAAAATAATGTCAAACAAAAAAGAAAAAAGAAAAAAGATAAAGATGAGAGTAGTGATTGTGTGTACTTGCATTATTAGTATTTGACTGCAAAATCATTTTGTTTCATTTGTTTTGTGTTGGGTCTGTTTTCATGCTACTTGTACCTTTATTATTTTCAAATTTGTTACAATGTCAATATTCATCTATTGCCCAACTTCCAATGTGAACTCTCATTTCCAATTTGAAATGCTTGCTATATATATTTAAATCTAAATTGAGGGGCTATAGTAGTGAAAGTTCCTTGTGTTAATCCAATATTTTAAAAATATGTTAAAGTCAACTTACTTGATTAACTTTGTTATATAAAGTAATTTAGGGTAACTAAAATGTGGTTGGAGAATGGGAATGTTTGACGCTGAAAATTCATGATAGTCATGCACATGCACATTTACATTTTCTTGCTGTTTTTTTATAGGTCCTAGCTCAAGTCAAGCCACACAAAAGCAGACAAGGGGTCCCACATATGTACATGGTCAATGGGGTACTTCAGATGATGGCATTTTAAAACTTGTTTCAAATGAGTTGAATCAAGTAGTTGAAGGATACACACCCCTTGCTTCACATTTGGGCGTTCTGGCACGAGATGGGAGTCTTGCACCACTCACTTTTATGACTTGGCATTATGTCCCACAACAAAATAAAGATTACATATGGAGGGAGATAAAGGTAATCCAGATATTTAATATGAAATAAGTTGAAATGCATATTACAATTGGATTCCATATGAAATGCATATTACAAGTGTAGTTGACATTGCATATTACAAGTGTGTATAATTGTAATGCAGGCTCATACGAATGCAGATGATTCCATGAAGAGAACAATAATGACTTCATTTGGGAAGAAATGGAGAGATTGGAAAAGTCGCGTGAAAAATATGGGATACACGCCCTTCAAGAATGATGCAGAAAGGTTGGCTCATCGACCGGATAGAGTACATGAGGATCAGTGGCGGGCCTTGATCTACCATTGGGGCACTCAGAGTGCATCAGTACAATTTTATTTATGTGAAAAAATGTTTATATATGATAATTTTTTATAATATCTCAAATGAATTTTATATTTAACAGAAATCAAGTAAGAAGAATAGAAAAATCCAAAAGAAGAAGACACTGCATCATCGAACAGGCCGAAAGCCTTTCTCAATAATTCGAGTGGAGGTATAATTAGACATTACATCTTGGACATATTTTGAAATTTGTTAAGTTTTTAAGTTAAACAACTTATAACTTAGCTAGCTCAACTTATAACTAAACTAAATCAAGTTTAATATGTATAAGATTGAAGATTGAAATTTATTATCTTTAAAATTCATCTTCTCATCTTTGTCTTACATGTTTTGTTTTATCTATCTTTTATTTACAGGAGACAAAGAAAAACAATGGGGTTCCTGCTAGTCGGCCACAGGTGTGGATGGCCACATACATGAAAGATGGTACTTCCAATAGTGATTCAGTTAATGAAGTTATGGTATGTGATACTACTTTATTAGACTTTTAATATGATTTATATTTGATGCTAATTATTGAATTCAAAATTGCAGACTCAAATGAATGAGCTAACGGAGCACATGGAGGGATCTTCTTCGGACCCTGCTGCATTAAGTGAACAGATTTTCACACAAGTTATGGAGCCGGAGCGACCTGGTCGTGTTCGAACGTTTGGATTGGGACCATCCCCCACCGATGTTTTTGGAAGTAGATATAGGCAGTCACAAGAGCAGAATCATATCTTCCAAACTCGAGTTCAAGAACAAGTTGAAGAGCAACTTCAACGGTATCAAATACAGTTAGAGTCGAAGATGAATGACGTAATGGAGAAACAAATTCAAGCTATACGCGCAGATTTTCAGTCACGAATTGAGATTTTGGAATCTCAATTGCAAGCTGCGAGCGTGCTCGTTGCACCAGCTGTTACACCCTCGAACCCATTACATAGGCAGCAGGTACTTTCATTATTTTTACTAGTTATTACTTTAAATTGCCCAGAGCTACTATACAACTTAAGCCTCTTATTGAATGATAGGTTGTTGATTCACTTAGTAGTCATCCCACTGTACGGCCAATGTCACATCAACAACAATCTCATGCATTTTCATCCCAAGAGGTGAGCAATCATTTAATCAAAGTTTTTTTTGACAATACAATATCTTATTAATTAAAATACTTGTTCTGATTAAATATAGGTTCACCTTTCAAAGAAAGAGAAGAAGAAGAAGAAGAAGAAGAAGAAGAAGAAGAAGAACTAACAAGGTAAAAGTACTAACATCACTAGTTTAAGCTGATAATAATATTCATAAATCAATAGTGTTAAAGACATGTTAGGCAAATGCTTTTTTGAGTTGAGAATGATGTTATTCATAAATCATATACATTGTTTTTAAGTATCAAGTGGCTTTCACAAGTATGGTTTATTCTTCTTCTCCTACATTGCGTTTGGAAAGTGTCTAAGAAAAAGAAACAGTATTGTGAGAATGTCCAACACACATTAGCAAACATGGTACTTATTGCATCTTAGTTTATCTATGTAGTCCTCAATTTGCTAGATAATTATATACTAAATTTTCCTAGGTGGAAAACATACTCAATGCTATAAAGAACTGGATAAATTATGTGGGTACAATTAGTTGAGAAACATACTCAAGTTTTCTTCCCAAAGTTCCTGTAGTTCATGTAACAGTTATTAGACACCAAGAGTAACTAGAAAACACTGACTAATAATAAAGTCTAGAAGAAGCCAAGTTTTCTATTTTCTTTTCTTTTATCTTGCCCTTTATTTTTCTTTCTCTCTTTTTTTTCCCCATCCTATTTGTAGGAAGAAAGAAGAGGTTGTGGCGACAAAACAAAAAATGACACCAAACCATCACCATATGCATTCTTTAATAGCAATTTCCACATAACAGTATACCAGTTTTTGCCTCAATATCGGGTGCAAAGATTCTCTTAGTGCTTGAGCAGAAGCTCTAATCCTAGACGATTGTGCCTGAGCAAGAGCTTCCCTTAAGGAATATGGCTGGCTAGGGGAGCTGAGATGTGAATTGACTCTTTGCCACAAGTAACCATTCTCAGGGGTTTCTGGAGGCTGCATTAAAATAAATATTCAAGTTATTAAAGGATGCATACGAAGTAATGACTCATTAGAAAACATTAGCATCAGGACTTGTCAAGGAACTTCAAAATATAATTACTAAAAAAAATGAGCTCTCTCAAGTTGCAGATACAAATAAGTAAAGCATTAAACTTGAAAAGTAACAAGAACAATAGAGACAGCAAACTCACTCTGACTTCTTGCCGTGAAGCCTCAGTCAGATTGTGGTTAATTGCAGGAGAAAGTCTATCAGAGTACTTTGGGGATGTAGGTCCATCCCCAGCTGGGCTGTGAGAACTACTATTAAAGAATGGAAATTGTTATGTGTCATTGAGAATCTTTCTTTATTTCTTTATTTTTATTTTTTGATCAATCATCTTTTCTCGAGTCCAACATATTGGCATATAGATAGATTGGAGGCTCATTGTTTATCTACCATTAGACTGGAGCCTGGAGGATAGGTGTGAGGATGTTGTGGCATCATAATAAATCACACTCTATTGGGGTTACCAGGGAGCAATCCTTTTATTTGGTTTGTTTAAATAATAGGCACCATCATTGATTGGCATGCCTCAATGCAAATGGCCTGTTTATTAACGAACACCGTTTCATGGTTACTTGTGCAATAATCTCTACTTTGGCCAACAGGTAGATTCCTGAAGTGGTGGTGAATCGCCTGAATGGGTGATTGACCCTCTACTTTTGAAATGCTTGTCATGCATACTATTCTTTGTTATGAGAGGAGGAAGAATGAGAAAATGCACCATTAAAACAATGAGAGAGACTTGAACTAGGGTGAAGCCATTTCAAAAGTAATATAAGCAGAATTGCAGGATTCAGTTTCCATGATTCATACAAGTACCCAATTTCTCAACTGATTGTCAAAGATAGATGTTTTATATTTGAACTTCGGCTAATTTTTCAATGTTTTCCATTTCAGTCTGGAAGGTGATGTTAAGATGCGAACCAATGCTCAACTATGGGTTCCACATTTCATTCTCCCCATGAAGGCATTTACTATATGCCGTACGATTAGGAATCAGTCCAGGCGTTTACGCAAGTGACGTATGACAAGGAATCAATCCACCATGATTTAAAGGATGATAATTGGTTTGTGTCCTGCAATATTTCTATTTGCAAAACTTGAAACCTTTCAAGTGATTTACTGTTCTTACATAAATATGGTTATATGTATTATTGTTCCAGTTAAGTGCATTCGATTTTTAACTTTGTAGGCTTAATATGCTTATTAATATAAAGTTTAGATATGTTATTTTGTGGGGTAATGATGATTGGATATTAATTGAATGAGAAACTGAATTAATGCTTCATTTGTTACTTGAATGGGAGTTATTATTTTATATCTTAGTTTTATTATAGGTATTTGAATGGGAGTTGAATATTAATTGAATGAGAAATTGAATTAATGCTTCATTTGTTATTTCAATGGGAGTTATTATTTTATATGTTAGTTATTTTATATTTATTATAGGTATTTGAATGGGAGTTGGATATTAATTGAATAAGAAACTGAATTAATGTTTCATTTTTGTTATTTGAATGAGAGTTAATATTATATATGTCAGTATTACTATAGGTATTTTTTTGATTCAATCAAATAAAAATTAGTACAATTTCAAAAAAAAAAAAAAAGGGGATATGACGGCGTTTCTACAAATGCCTTCTAAACTGTCAATATTAACGGCCATATTTTTAAAACAGATACCACGGCGTTTCAAAAACGTCGCTAAAAATTGTTGCTGACGTCAGCTAGTGTATAGTGGGACATTTGGCGGCGTTTTTCAAAACGCCTTCTATACTAATATCACGGCGTTCTTAAAACGTCGCAAAGATACAGCGACGGCCACAGCTTCGGCGTTTGGTACTAAACGCCACTAAATGAATTAGCGGCGTTTTTTATAGATATAGCGGCATTTTTTAAACGCCACTAAAAGTTCAATTTCCAGCAGTGTTGGTTGTTGGTCATGCTCAAGGTCATTGCTTGAAAAGAAAATAGAAAAAGAAGTTGAACGGTACATGTGATGTCTTGGTCTTGTGATCCTGTATGCTGTACCTTTTTTTTTCTTCTCAAAACTCAAGTTCCTCTTAATTTTGTTGGTGTAAACAAATGTTTACATATCTTTTCATAGGAATTTAGGACCAAAGTGCACACTAGTGTTAGTCATGTATAACATCTTTAAGTTCCCAATCAATTTTAGAGGATTTGGATTTTTTAACATCTTTAGTCATGTATAACATCTTTGTAATCACCACCAATCAAACTTGCGACGTATCTAATAATCTTATTATGGATTCTGAAATGAATGATGCTTCTGTCCGTGATGATGGGACTGGTGGTTCATCAAGTGAGAAGGCCGTTGTTCCATCTTCTGATGTTACTTCTGAAAACCCGAATCTTCATACCATTGCATTGGAGGATGCTGGAGATGCTGATATTGGAAAGATCCCTGGGGAAACTCATGAATTGAGACCACTTCTACAGATGCTTGTCGGATCACCTCCAATGTTAGCATCAACGATGCGCCAAGCGTTTAAAGGTGGGTTACAAGAAGGAATTTTCACTACCAACAACATTGAAGTTTCATTTGAAAACTTCCCATATTATTTAAGGTGCAGACCTTTGACCTCAAAGATAGGCTATTGACAATTATTGTATTTCTTGTAATCTTTTTTTTGTGTGACTGGTTTGTTTGCAATGGTATCATTTTGGACGTGTAGAAAATATGTATGCTTGTTGATTATGTATAATTTATAAATGTTAATTGAGGTGCATAGCCTTCTGCTTACATTTTTGTTTGTTTCTATTCTTAGACTATTTTACATGTTCATTTAAACTAATGCTTTTTCACATTGTGTCTTCATATTTTTGTAGTTGGTAATCAAAATGTGAGAAGCACCGCTTTCATAAGCAAACTTAAATATGACATTGTAATTAATGGAAACTATAAATTTGCTTTTCTATTTTATTATTGTTGTCCTTATAGCTGTTAGTTACTTTGGTTTTGGAAGTCTAGCAGTTCGTTTTCTGTTTCTAGCATTACTCATCTCAAATCAAAGCATTGGATTTTCTTGCCCAATATATTAGTAGCATACAAGCATTACTTATCTCAAATCAAAGCATTGGATTCTTCTTCTGGTCTTGGAATCTATATCTCCTCAAGCTCAATCACAAAATTTTGATAGCTGCTCTCTTAATCATATTTGTTTTTCCTTCTTTCTTAATATAGTGATTGTAATGTTTTTTTTTTTTTTTTATAAATGTTATTATAATCAATAAACTATTTTGTTTTTGCCAATAAAAAATTCAATTATATAGAATAGGTTAAATAAAAAAGGTGCATTCAATTATATAAAATTTAATTTTTTTCAGTTACTTTTGTTAAATAAAAAATTCTTTAACATAATTTAATGATATTATGAACCATTCTTGTAATAGTAACTAAGCCTTATATAATCATTCTTGTATTGGAGCAATTGACGGAACACACATCAAAGTATATATATCTCCAGATAAGCAATCTCGTTTAATAGGTGGAAAAGGGTATGCAACTCAAAACATAATGGCCGAATGTGACTTTGATATGTGTTTCACATTTTGCTTACCAGGATGGGAAGGAAGTGCACACGATGCTCGGATCTTCTTAGATACAATTAGGAATCCTAGTTTTAATTTTCCAAAACCACAAGTAGGTAACTGTTTTATATTTGATTGCTATAGTATATACACCACACTTCACTACAAGAAAATGGGGCTTAAAAGACGGAACTATTTGCGACGGTACATTTGCCGTCGCAAAAAGTGACTTTTTGCGACGGTAAAAAATACCGTCTCAAAAAACAGAGTATTTGCGACGGTAGAAAAATACCGTCTCAAAAAAAGAGAGTATTTGCGACGGTATTTTCTGCCGTCGCAAGTACTCTTCTTTTTTGAGACGGTATTTTTCTACCGTCGCAAATACTCTGTTTTTTGAGACGGTATTTTTTACCGTCGCAAAAAGTCACTTTTTGCGACGGCAAATGTACCGTCGCAAATAGTTCCGTCTTTTAAGCCCCATTTTCTTGTAGTGAAGTGTGATATATATACTATAGCAATCAAATATAAAATAGTTACCTCTTTTTGGTTTTGGAAAATTATAACTAGGATTCTTAATTGTATCTAAGAAGATCTGAGTATCGTGTGCACTTCCTTTTTATTCGAGCAAGCAAAATGTGAAACACATATCGAAGTCACATGCGACCATTATGTTTTGAGGCGCATACCACTTTCTGCCTAGTAAACG